ATATAGTATATAATACAAAAGTAATGCAATTATTAAAGCATTTATGGTATTTTTATTGTAAATTCTCACAACATTTGCATCCAATTTATTTATTTATGGTTTCCTGCGCTTCTAATTATAGATATTAAATTGAAATTGTATTTTATTTCAATAGTGCATTTAGCCCATATATTTTTAATCAAAACTTACAAACAACCGATTTTTCTAATTAAAACCATTAATTTATGTAAAGCTCTACATAAGAGATTTAAAGTATTTTGGTGTCATATTTGTCAGTTTAATCATATATTTTTGCTTAAAAATCTAACTATTAATAACAATAGTAGATATAGTGGTCTGATCATTAATCAAAGCTAATGACATAGTATTAACTTATTTAGTATCAACAAATTAATGGTATAATAGTAATATAAGTGAAAAGTAAAGTTATATAACCAGAAAGGCATCGCAAAAAGTAGCACTAATAAGTCTTTAAAATGATTGAACCCAATTTGATCTTTATAAAAAAAGTTCAAATGAGACAGGCACATACCAAATGATGACATAAACTCTGCTTATATACGACTGCATAGCATTGAAAGTAATATTAACTTTTGTACTACACATAGAGTTCATGTGATTGTTTGGTATGTGCCTGTCTCAAATCTAATAAAACCGATTTTCACGTGTATGTCATCCACCCTATACTATAGGTTGTGAAGATGTTGATGTTGATAGTCGTGATGTTCGCCATATGTTGGCTTCCAATCCAGTTATTCGGACTAATCGTATGGTTTCATCCGATCAGTTTGGACACTGACCTCCAGTACAACCTATACGTCGGACTCTATTTCGCGAGCCATTGGCTCTCAATGAGCCACTCATTCATTAATCCTCTCATCTACTCCTATATGTCCTCCAATTTTCGGGTATTACTTCGACACTCATTATTGTTTGCTTNATCGTATGGTTTCATCCGATCAGTCTGGACACTGACCTCCAGTACAACCTATACGTCGGACTCTATTTCGCGAGCCATTGGCTCTCAATGAGCCACTCATTCATTAATCCTCTCATCTACTCCTATATGTCCTCCAATTTTCGGGTATTACTTCGACACTCATTATTGTTTGCTTTCTAAATATCATACCATAACTGGTATTCTCATTATCTGCACAAAAACATACAGACATTAGATTTAATAGTAATGCACGCAATATTTTTCGTGCTATGTTTTTGTAAAGCATAGAATCTGTGCCATACTGTATATGAATTTGTTTTATTCTTGCTTATAAGTTATGACGAGACTTTGTGAATACTTTTTTTAATCATACAAAGTTTTGCTTGTTTTAAGATTAACTTTAAAGTACTGTACAGTATGTATTGTAGACTTTACGATAAATATCACACAAAAAAGCAAAATTTTGTTATAACTTTAGTTTTTAGTGAATTAAAAAATAAAACATTAAAACAAATTAACTTATTATTAATAGTATAAAACCACTAAAAATATAAAGTTAAAAATAATTTTATCTACTAAGTACACTAGCACTCTTTTCAATTAATGACATATTTTTTGTTTAACATTAATCGCATTATTTTATATGGATTTTCAAGAATTTTCGAGAAATAAATGCATTGAATTGCATAACATTTATTAGAGTAGGATATAACTTGCTACTCATTGGTCTGATATTACAAATTACTTTATCATATAATTCAGTTACCCATAAGTCGACAAATGTTAAAAATGTCAAAAACCTAATTTAACCATTATTTAGCAAACTCCATAAAAAAATCATCAAATATTTACAAATCTAATATTAAATGTTTTACATTTTTGACTAAAATTAAAATTGCTAGAATTTTTACATAATATTTACATTAATTTAAATCATTAATTATTAAACTGCTTTCGATGATAAATGACATAATTTAATTTAGTAATATAAATAGCAATATATTTTAATGATTAATTGAATCTGAAATTTACAAAACATCTTGCAATATTAATTTCATACTAAACATGATTTATACGATATAACCAGGAGAATATTTGTAGATTAATATTAAATATGTAGGCATCCCACACTACGAATAACTAAAGTGCTTGGCTAAATAACTAAATATTTAACAAGTGCTTAAATAACGTAAATGAGTATTACCTTTGATGATTGATTTAAATTACTTGGAAAATACTCAATTTACATAAAAGTGCTAGCTCAAAATATTAACATAATCCTAAATTAAATAAGATATAAACTTTACTTACAGGCTTAGTATGGATGTGCTAGTTTATATAATACTATAGAGAATTTAAGAGATTATTAAGCAAAGGATCGTATTTGAAATCATTTAATGATACAAAAAACACAACAAAATTTCACTATATTTAGTTTGTAGGCTCTACAATATTGTAAAGCTTAAGTTAGCAATATCAGTTTATTTATTTTTATTTACTGTTGAATGAAATATGTCATTTAAAATAGTATCACATTAACAATTCTACTAATAATACATTTTATTAATAAATTATTTCAAATGAATGGAAAAATGCTACAATCAGATAGTGTACTAAAGCTTAAAATTGATAAATATATTAAAATATATTTCAAAACAAATAATAATATATTTTTCGTTTCATTTATAGACTGATTTGTGGAAAATGTTGAGACGTTTCAAACCGAAGATCTTTCGCTCATTCAATGAATTTCGTTTCAATAATAACTTTGAATTAAGTGACTCTCAATACTCCCATGAGATCAGCTATAATTAATAACTCATTTAAAATGCTACCTGTTCATTTGTAAAAGTCTTTCACGAATTAAAACTTAATTTCATAATTGGTTTATAGTTCAAACGGCACAAACAATTATTATAACTTATAAGCGACAGTTAATTGGGTTATACTTTTAAAATGCTACCTGTTCATTTGTAAAAGTCTTTCACGAATTAAAACTTAATTTCATAATTGGTTTATAGTTCAAACGGCACAAACAATTATTATAACTTATAAGCGACAGTTAATTGGGTTATACTTGTATTAATAGTGTATTTAATGTAAAGTCATTAAATATCAATGAATCTACAGTACTGTTAGATCAGTATTTTATAAATAAAGTTTTATATTTACAGAATCTGCCAAAAATAAAACATTTTGTGTAAATATAAGATTACGTATCAATTTTTTGCAACCAATAGTTACAAATCTATATTGTTTATCTGACAAAAAATATAAACAAAATTTATAATTGTCAATAGTTTACTGTATTTAGTAAATGTCTATTATTTTAACAGGAAACGCAAACAAAAAATATATACAGTAATTATCTTTTTCATATGAAATATATATTTTGATATAATTGATAATGTAAAATAATATTGAAATAAATACTGTACCATATTAATATAATAATATTACCTAATAATATAGGTCTATTATAATTCATATAAACCTACACATTCCTTAGAGTATATTGTATGAAAAATATAATTTGTATTAATATTTCTAATCTAGTGCCATTGTTTTTCATTAATATCATTTAATAACATTTAAAAAATCATATAATATATTATACAGTACTTCACACCAAAATAATTTGATGTAAACTCAATTCCATTTGTTGTAAAATAATAACATACTGTTTTGTATTAATATATCAATACATTTAAAAATAAAATAATAAATTTGTATACTATAATTAATCTACATTAACTTTTGCAATTTTAAAATGTCAATTTTGATTTTTTTTATAAAACCTATACTGTGTTACTATATTTTAAAGGTATACCGTACAGTATTACAATAATCTTACATATACAACCATTACTATTATTTAGTTTTCCAATTTCTAACAAACTAATTATTATATAGCAGTATATTTATTTGCTTAATGTTTAGATATTGATACCATCATCTCATAAAATATTTGTATGTGCTATTTTATAAGTAATGATTATGACATTAATTAATTATTAAAAATTTATAATAGGAGACTAGCTTTCAAAATAACATTTAATTGTGTCTTAAGATTTCTAAAATTGGAAATACAGTATCAAGTTCATTTTGTTGGATTAATTTTTAAAGAAATATTTGAAAGAATTACACTGCCGTATATTCATTATATTACCATAGATTTTATATTTTTAATATAGTCCTTAAATGTAAAATAACATTACAGTAATTCAAAAAAATAACGCAATTATCCAAGACAATTAAAGTAAGAATATATACTTGCTATTTATGATAGTTAAGTACTGTGTAACCTTTTGAACAAAACTATAACCACATTATAATCTTACAATATTATTTACTTAATTAACTTAATTTTAATTTTAAAAATAAAAGTTTAATAATAGAATATTAAGGATAAAAACATCTGGTATTAATTCAATAAAATAATTTTATAAATGCACAAAATTGAGCATGGTCTTTAAATATTAATAAATTCAATTTAATTGTTACTTTTGCTATGAATGGTTTTTAAATATTATACAAATATTATAATCGGTATTTATTAATGTTAAACATTTAAATTTAAATAGTAATACATTTTTAGAGTTACTTATATTCATTTAATAAAAAATAAGTTTAAAATGCAAAAACTTGTGAACATAAAATTACTTATTTATAAGCAAATACGATTACTATAAAATATTATATTCCGGTAAACTATTTAAATGTTAAATGTTATAAATATTTTATTAAAAATGCAATTTCTGTAAATAAAACTTCTAGATATAGAAGTAATTCTATAATACATAGAAATACATTTAATATATAATGTATAAATAGGCTAAGCACATACAATTCACATAAGATTTAATATCAAGATTATTTAATATAGCTTTGAGGTGTTTATATTAATAGTGAAATGTATCGCAGATTCCTGTTTACAAACCACAGCTAGCATTAACTTTTTATAAATAAATTCTAGCATTTTATGCTAGTTACATTACTGCAAACCAATCACAATTTCTATTCGATAATTGTATACAGGTACATTTGTATTAATAGAGTAGTGTACAGTATAACTTGTACAGTATTGATTAACGGTTAATTAACATAACATCTCATGAATACTAGTAACATCATAACCATAGTAATGCTTAAGCCCTTGGATGATAAGTAAAAAATATCTATTTATTATATTGGATGCAATTCACGTACGAAATTAGAGCAGATTAGTTTCAATAATACCCTGAGCTTACACTTTCATATTATAATACCAATTCAATAAAATCCTTACTGTATACATTTTTATTATACAACATTTAATCATTTGTAATTTTGTTTTTATGGTCAGTTTGAATTTTATTTTTAAACCTCTCACATGATCTTTGTAAATATGTAGCTTTCATTTTAATTATTAAAGTTTAATTATGTTAATTATTATATATTAGAGCTTAATATATCTGAATTTCATCCACTTTTAGCTCAAATTCTTGAAATATAATTTGACAAATATATAATTGTGCCTGATTCTTCCGACAAACTAACTCCATCTACTGAACTTAACTAACACACAATTATATAATTTTCAAGTAATTTTATTAAATTCTGTATGTTTTTGATAAATTTTCATATTTATAACAGTACTGTATATGTATTGAGTTATTTTAATGTATATCACAGTATTTCTATTATTGGCTAATTCAATTGGATTTACATAAAAAATTAATTATATCTTTTTGAAGCTTGTATGAAAACTATAAGTCATTTACTTTAAAATAAGTAATTTTTAACAATTTACAATATTACTTTCTATAATAAAATATACTAAAAATGTCAATTACTAGTTTTATAAATATATATTGAATAAGGACTTATAACTTATTGTAATTTTATTAAAATTCAGTTCAAGAGTAAATCTACTTTACTCTATTAAACTGTATGTAAATTACACACAATTATTTGCAACTAAACTTACAATTAAATGTTTCAAACAAAAGGGAATTGCAAATGAATGTTAGGCTACATGTCCTACTCATATGAATCATATGAACAAGTTTTTCGTGAATTATTTATTGGATTAAGAATTTAATAAATAGTTTACAAAAGAGAGTAAAATAATTGCGAAATAAGTTAATAACAGTTTTGTGAATACAGTGAAGCATTCATTTCTAAATTAATCAATAGTTTTGACGCAATTTCATGTAATAGTATTGAGAG